AAGAGTTCAATCTTGGTTTCATCAGACCAGAGAATCTTTAGGTGCCTTTTGGCAAACTCCAAGTGGGCTGTCATGTGCCTTTTACTGATTAGTGGCTTCCGTCTGGCCACTCTACCATAAAAGGCCTGATTGGTGGAGTGCTGCAGAGATGGTTGTTCTTCTGGAAGGTTCTCCCATCTCCACAGAGGAACTCAGGAGCTCTGTCAAAATGACCATCGGGTTCTTGGTCACCTCCCTGACCAAGGCACTTCTCTACCGATTGCTCAGTTTGGCCGGGCGACTAGCTCTAGGAAGAGTCTTGGTGGTTCCAAACTTCTTCCATTTAAGAATTTATTTTATTTTTATTTCACCTTTATTTAACCAGGTAAGACAGTTGAGAACAAGTTCTCATTTACAACTGCGACCTGGCCAAGATAAAGCAAAGCAGTGCGATTAAAAACAACAACAACACAGAGTTACATATGGAATAAACAAAACGTACAGTCAATAACACAATAGAAAATCTATATACAGTGTGTGTAAATGTAGTAAGTTATGGAGGTAAGGCAATAAATAGGCCATAGTGCAAAATAATTACAATTTAGTATTAACACTGGAGTGATAGATGTGCAGAAGATGATGTGCAAATAGAGATACTGGGGTGCAAATGAGCAAAATAAATAACAATATGGGGATGAGGTAGTTGGGTGGGCTAATTACAGATGGGCTGTGTACAGGTGCAGTGATCGGTAAGCTGCTCAAAGATAGTGAGGGAGGTAAGTGTCTCCAGCTTCAGAGATTTTTGCAGTTCGTTCCAGTCATTTGCAGCAGAGAACTGGAAGGAATGGCGGCCAAAGGAGGTGTTGGCTTTGGGGATGACCAGTGAGATATATCTGCTGGAACACATACTACAGGTGGGTGTTGCTATGGTGACCAATAAGCTAAGATAAGGCAGGGATTTGCCTAGAAGTGATTTATAGATGACCTGGAGCCAGTGGGTTTGGCGACTAATATGTAGTGAGGACCAGCCAACGAGAGCGTACAGGTCACAATGATGGGTAGTATATGGGGTTTTGGTGACAAAACGGATGGCACTGTGATAGACTACATCCAATTTGCTGAGTAGAGTGTAGGAAGCTATTTTGTAAATTACATCGCCGAAGTCAAGGATCGGTAGGATAGTCCGTTTTACGAGGGCATGTTTAGCAGCATGAGTGAAGGAGGCTTTGTTGCGAAATAGCATGCCGATTCTAGATTTAACTTTGGATTGGAGATGCTTAATGTGAGTCTGGAAGGAGAGTTTACGGTCTAACCAGACACCTAGGTATTTGTAGTTGTTCACATATTCTAAGTCAGACCCGCCGAGAGTAGTGATTCTAGTCGGGTGGGCGGGTGCAAGCAGCATTCGATTGAAGAGCATGTTTAGTTTTACTAGCGTTTAAGAGCAGTTGGAGGCCACGGAAGGAGTGTTGTATGGCATTGAAGCTCGTTTTGGAGGTTTGTTAACACAGTGTCCGATGAAGGGCCAGATGTATACAAAATGGTGTCGTCTGCATAGAGGTGGATCTGAGAGTCACCAGCAGCAAGAGTGACATCATTGATATACACAGAGAATAGAGTCAACACGAGAATTGGGGGTGCAGAGCTGGTGGCCGGGGTAGGGGTAGCCAGGTGGAAAGCATGGCCAGCCGTAGCAAAATGCTTATTGAAATTCTCGATTATCGTAGATTTATCGGTGGTGACAGTGTTTCCTAGCTGGGCGGAGGTGCTCTTATTCTCCATGGACTTTACAGTGTCCCAAAACTTTTTGGAGTTAGTACTACAGGATGCACATTTCTGTTTGAAAAAGCTAGCCTTTGCTTTCCTAACTGATTGTGTATATTGGTTCCTGACTTCCCTGTAAAGTTGCATATCGCGGGGGCTGTTCGATGCTAATGCAGTACGCCACAGGATGTTTTTGTGCTGGTCAAGGGCAGTCAAGTCTGGGGTGAACCAGGGGCTATATCTGTTCTTAGTTCTACATTTTTTGAATGGAGTATGCTTATTTAAGATGGAGTGGAAAGCACTTTTGAAGAACATCCAGGCATCCTCTACTGACGGAATGAGGTCAATATCCATCCAGGATACACGGGCCAGGTCAATTAGAAAGGCCTGCTCGCTGAAGTGTTTTAGGGAGTGTTGAGTGATGAGGGGTGGTCGTTTGACCACGGACCCATTACGGACGCAGGCAATGAGGCAGTGATCGCTGAGATCCTTGTTGAAGACAGCGGAGGTGTATTTAGAGGGTAAATTAGTCAGGATGATATCTATGAGGGTGCCCATGTTTACGGATTTAGGGTTGTACCTGGTAGGTTCCTTGATAATTTGTGTGAGATTGAGGGCATCTAGTTTAGGTTGTAGGTTGGCCGGGGTGTTAAGCATATGTATGAACTCTGAGGATAATGGGGGGCAAGCAATTCACATATGGTGTCCAGGGCACAACTGGGGGCTGAGGGGGGTCTGTAGCAAGCGGCAAAAGTGAGAGACTTATTTCTGGAAAGGTGGATTTTTAGAAGTAGAAGCTCAAACTGTTTGGGCACAGACCTGGATAGTATGATAGAGCTCTGCAGGCTATCTCTACAGTAGATTGCAACTCTGCCCCCTTTGGCAGTTCTATCTAGACGGAAAATGTTGTAATTCGGGATGGAAATGTCTGAATTTTTGGTGGCCTTCCTAAGGCAGGATTCAGACACTGCTAGAACATCAGGGTTGGCAGAGTGTGCTAACGCAGTGAATAACTCAAACTTGGGGAGGAGGCTTCTGATGTTAACATGCAAGAAACCAAGGCTTTTACGGTTACAGAAGTCAACAAATGATAGCGCCTGGGGAGTAGGAGTGATACTGGGGGCTACAGGGCCTGGGTTAACCTCTACATCACCAGAGGAACAGAGGAGGAATAGAATAAGGATACGGCTAAAGGCTTTAAGAACTGGTCTTCTAGTGCGTTGGGTACAGAGAATAAAAGGGGCAGATTTCCGGGCGTTTTAGAATAGATTCAGGGCATTATGTACAGACAAGAATATGGAAGGATATGAGTACAGTGGAGGTAAACCTAAGCGTTGGGTAACGATGAAAGCGATAGCATCACTGGAGGCAGCGATTTGAGCCGTTCTCCGCGTGTATGGGGGGTGGGACAATGGAGCTCTCTGAGGCTGGTTGAGCGGGACTGGGGGCTCTACAGTGAAATTGTATAATAAGAACTAACCGGAACAGCAATAGGCAAGGCATATTGACATGGGAGAGAGGCATAAAACAATCACAGGTGTTATTCGAGAGAGCTAAGACAACAACTGGTAATGGCGACGAAAGTTTGGGCTGAGGCTAAACAGATAAACAGGACAGGGTACCGTGTAAAGGAACAGTCCAGCAGGCATCAGCTGTGTAGCTGAGTGATCATAAGGTCCAGTGAACAGCAATAGGTAAGTCCGGGAGCAGTTCGGAGGCTGCTACAGCACAGGCGAGCAGGAGGCACGGCTGTTGATTGCGCGTGCTAGCGGGCCGGGGCTAGCAGATGGATCTTCGTGGTCGTCGCAATGGGAAGCCTGTTGAAACCACATCAGACGATTACGTCGGCAGACCAGTCATGATGGATCAGCGGGGCTCCGTGTCGACAATAGGAGGTCCCGAATGTAGAATGATGGAGGCCACTGTGTTCTTGGGGACCTTAAATGCTGCAGAAATGTTTTGGTACCCTTCCCCAGATCTGTGCCTCGACACAATCCTGTCTCGGAGCTCTACGGACAAGTCATTCGACATCATGGCTTGGTTTTTGCTCTGACATGCACTGTCAACTGTGGGACCTTATATAGACAGGTGTGTGCCTTTCCAAATCATGTCCAATCAATTGAATTTACCACAGGTGGACTCCAATCAAGTTGTGGACACATCTCAAGGATGATCAATGGAAACAGGATGCACCTGAGCTCAACTTCGAGTCTCATAGCAAAGGGTCTGAATACTTATGTAAATAAGGTATGTCTGTTTTTTATTTTTGATAAATTTGCTAACATTTTTGTTTTCGCTTTGTCATTATGCGGTATTGTGTGTAGATTGATGAGGAAAAAAAGTATTTAATCAATTTTAGAATAAGGCTATAATGTAACAAAATGTGGAAATAAGCGAAGGGGTCTGAATACACCGAATGCACTGTATATAATGGATCATTCTTGATACACACGGGAAACTTTTGAGTATGAAAAACCCAGCAGCGTTGCAGTTCTTGACACAATCCGGTGCGCCTGGCACCTACTACCATACCCTGTTCAAAGCACTTAAATCCCTAAATCCCTTTTGTAGGTGCCAGGCGCACCGGTTTGTGTCAAGAACTGCAATGCTGCTGGGGTTTCCACACTCAACAGTTTCCCGTGTGTATCAAGAATGGTCGACCACCCAAAGGACAGCCAGCCAACTTGACACAACCGTGGGAAGCATTGGAGTCAACATGGGCCAGCATCCCTGTGGAAAGCTTTCGATGCCTTGTAGAGTTTTTCTTTCATTATTCTTTATCTGGCATTAGTGCGTAAGCCTAAGCTTTAGGGACTAACTGTATGCATGCCAAATACACACCAAATGCTTTTGGGAACTTGGGCAGAAAAAGTTAACGTCGATCCACTGAGGCAAAAAAGAAAATGTTGGCGTTTAATTCAATAAGACAAAAGCAGGTGGGGATGTCACTGTTAGACATTTTTTGTTTTAGCAAAACATTAGGCTACTGTTCAATAGGCCTAAATATTCAACAAAATAAATGAAGAAATGTTGAAGAAAAACGTCATTGTTCAAGAGAAAAAAAGGGAACTGTACAGCTCATTTTCTAAATTTGCAGGTAAGGTAAGGGTGTCAGAGTTTCACTTTATCACATATATTCGGGCGGTTGTGGACTGGTTATTAGCAATTGCTGGTGGGTGCGAGTGAACAAACAGCTAACCCGCACATCACCACTGTATGTGTATTTTGAAACAATCAAACAAAATGACTGAAGTGTTATGTGTCTGTCTAAGCAGTGAAGCTGTCCGGTGAGATGGATGTGGAGGCTGATGTGGTCTACCCAATCACCTGTGGGGACGTGAAGGCCACCCTGGTCTGGAAGAAGTTTGTTTGTCCAGGCATCAACATCAAATGTGTCCAAGTAAGTCTGATTTAACTCACTTTAGCCATTTTTTAAACTTAACTCAGTCCTATCGGATCATGATTTGTAGGTTTCTTAGCCTTGTGATATGCACACCAAGGATGGAACCATGGAGGTACTGGTTCGTGTTCATTAGGCACAAAATGGAAGGCACTACCTGAACTTGTCCAATAAGAAATGCTTTTTAAAATATTTTTTGTGTACACCGTTTTGCTACGGTGTGCACTAATGAAAACAACCCAGATGACATCTGTCTATCTGTGTTCCAGTTCAATGAGCATCTTATCAGTCCCAAGGAGTTTGTCTATATGGCTGGGAAATCTACACTGAAAGACTGGAAGAGAGCCATCCGAGTGAACGGCACTATGATCAGGTCTGTGGCTTTGAAAGGATGCATACTTGGGTTTGCACAATACATTTATAATGTGAACCATATGGTCCTCCATGCAAATAATGTAGTATTCTCTTAGTTTCCCACTGCTAAGCAAAGTGGAAATGTAGATCAAAAAGTTGCTACATCCTTTGCGCATGTAATCATTGTGCAGTTCTCAAATGTGCCACACGATGGCACTATGACATAACATGATATCAGGTGATTTTAGGGCACTAGTTCAGAATGGCATTAGGCACCAAACTGAAGAAAAACATTTCAATTGGACTAAAAAAAGGAGGGGCTTCCTGGACTTATCCAATAAGAAACGCTTATTTTTGGCTTTCCGTTGCAAAACCTTTTAAAACGTTTCCCGTTGCGTGCCCTAATGCCCTAGCACTACACAGCTGATTGAAATAACCAACTTATCATCAAGCTTTGATTTTTTTGAATCAGCTGTGTAGAGCTAGGGCAAAAACCAAAACGTGTACTCAAGGGGGACCCCAGGACTGACTTTGGGAAACCCTGCCCTAATGAACACATCACTGCACTTTGTCAGTGAAAAAAATACTTTCTCTGATGCTGTCTGGCAGCGAAATAATGGTGTATAATACAATTCCCGATAGGAAAATCATGGACTCTGGCGAGCTGGATTTCTACCAGCACTCCAAAGTGTGCTCCAACACATGCCGCAGTACCAAGATTAACCTGGTGGGGACCAGAGTGTCACTCAGAAGCCAGCAGTCCACTGACTACGTCCCGGTCACCCCCTCCGCAGCCGACGGTAAACACACACACAAATAGACACACGCCTTGATTCCCTCAAACCCTCTTATGTGTGATTTTTTTTTGTAACATGTTAAGGTATTCAAATCTTACGATGCTGTTGTTCTAGTGAACGGATCACCAGCCACGTTTCCAACAGAAGTATCATCAGACGACACCACGGAATGGGTCACGGCCATAGGAGGTGAGTTTGAACTCTGAGTTATCATTTTAAATGTCAAAAGTTTCTAGCTTGCCTTCTTCTTTCCAACTGACCACTATGCTTAGAAATGAGGCTAGGTGACCGCTCAAAGTTCAATAATCAGACACACAATCAGGTAATGGGCCCACTATTTGTCTAATCACCTGACACAGTGCTAAAGCACTTAGATCCATTGACAATTATAATTGTGACCATGTTGTACACTGACTCTCTATTTACTGGCCATTCACAAGTCTAGCAATCAGGCTTAAACAGTGCTTTATCAAACTCTCTGAATATCTATTTGAGGCTATATAGTTGATTGTATAGAAGCGACTTCATGGTGTGTGTTTGCATTGTTCCAGAGGACTCTGTGACGTTCTGGAGGGGTCTGAAGGAGGCGGGGCTGCTGGAGGAGGTGGTGGAGGACTTCCAGAAGGAGATCCAGGAGGTGCTGAAGAGCATGCAGGAGCGCATCACCGAGCCTCCCCTGCAAGTTAACGGTCAGTTTCATATTGTTCATGAGGGATATTTCACTCAAATATTTTTATAAAATGTTTTAATTACAGTATTTCACTCTGTAATATTGCTATACTAGCTTGTATGTTATGTGCTCAAACAAAAGTGAAACTTAAGCAAGGTCTTTGTTCAGAAGTGTTTCCCCCATTTATTGAACATCAAATCAAATCAAATTTTATTGGCCACATGCGCCGAATACAACAGGTGCAGACATTACAGTGAAATGCTTACTTACAGCCCTTAACCAACAGTGCATTTATTTTTAATAAAAAAGTAAAATAAAACAACAACAAAAAAGTGTTGAGAAAAAAATAGCAGAAGTAAAATAAAATAACAGTAGGGAGGCTATATATACAGGGGGGTACCGGTGCAGAGTCAATGTGCGGGGGCACCGGCTAGTTGAGGTAGATGAAGTAATATGTACATGTGGGTAGAGGTAAAGTGACTATGCATAAATAATTAACAGAGTATCAGCAGCGTAAAAAGATGGGGTGGGGGGGCAGTGCAAATAGTCCGGGTAGCCATGATTAGCTGTTCAGGAGTCTTATGGCTTGGGGGTAGAAGCTGTTGAGAGTATTTTGGACCTAGACTTGGCACACCTAGGGTGGCTGGAGTCTTTGACAATTTTGAGGGCCTTCCTCTGACACCGCCTGGTATAGAGGTCCTGGATGGCAGGAAGCTTGGCCCCAGTGATGTACTGGGCCGTACGCACTACCCTCTGTAGTGCCTTGCGGTCGGAGGCCAAGCAGTTGCCATACCAGGCGGTGATGCAACCAGTCAGGATGCTCTCGATGGTGCAGCTGTATAATTCTTTGAGGATCTGAGGACCCATGCCAAATCTTTTCAGTCTCCTGAGGGGGAATAGGCTTTGTCGTGCCCTCTTCACGACTGTCTTGGTGTGTTTGGACCATGATAGTTCGTTGGTGATGTGGACACCAAGGAACTTGAAGCTCTCAACCTGTTCCACTACAGCCCCGTCGAGTCATGTGGGAGCTGTTGTTCTGCTGTCCTAATGCCATTCTAACTTCAATCCTGTCTTTTCATCTCCCTACTCTCTGTGTTGGACCTTGTCTTCTCAGACGCTGTGCTGCTGAACAACATAGTGCAGAACTTTGGCATGCTCGACCTGGTTAAGAAGGTGCTAGCCAGTCACAAGAGCCAGATGGACCACTATAGGGAGCAGTATTCACACAGTCTTGTCGGTGAGTTAAATGCTCACAATAACATTCTTCATTATTGTGTCTTTGAGTCCTTATTTTGTGTTTTTTATGGGGATTTTCTAGACAGTCTTTACACTCTTTTGTAGACGTCACTCTTTTTGTTGCAGCTGGCTTAAAAGCAGCTCCTTGAGGAAATAATGTGAAATGTTACTGTTTGGCCTTGGTGTGTATTAAATTTGACCGCTGTCTCTTGCCGTAGCTCTGGAGCAGCAGTGTGACGAGCACAGGAAACGTGCCAAGGAGCTGAAGAGCAAATCCCAACACCTCAACAATGTCCTCATGACCCTGACCCCCGTGGCCACGCCGCCCACGCCCAAATGTCCCCGCCTCACCCACGCCGTCTCAGGCCCCACCGTTATGTCCAGCGCCCCCACCCAGTTCACCCTGCCCCTCACCCAGCTGACGGACCTGCCTGCTGGGTGCAAAGTTCTCTCGATGGGTGGCGCGGCTGGTGCCGGCCAGCAGACCTACACAGTGCTGACGTCACCCGTGGGCGAGTTGAGGCCAGATGCCTCCAATCTGATGGTACTCTCCTCGGCCACCGCCGTTCAGGAGGGCGCCGCCGCCACCACGGCCTTCATCAAGATGGTCAGCCCGGGCTACCAGCTGATCACGCTGCCTGCCGCGCAGGGCACCCAGCTACAGGGCCCGGCGGGGGGCATGCTCCAGGACACCCCCACCATGGTGGCAATGCCCATGGGTAACAACGCGCTGCAGGGCACGGTGGCAGCAGTCACAGCATTGGAAACACAGGTGGACGTTCAGGTGCAGGAGGAGGTGGCACCAGAGACAGAGGAGCAGGAGGCCAAGGAGACAGTGGAGGTGGAGAGTTAGAGAGATGTACTACTCCTATATTATTAAAGACACAGCAGGAACTGAGGCCCCGTTTGTCCTCAATGGTTTAAGTGCTGGAACCAATGCCTGTATAGGTCTAGTGGTGTTGAACTATGAAGCACCCATCTCAGTAAAGCTCTGTAAAGATGACTTAAAACGAGCAGGGCATGTATAACAACGTATACATGCATTGCTCGTTTTACTCTAAGCACCAGCACGTGTGTATGGAGGTGAAAATGTCAGGGCAGAATTGACTTTGGAATTCAAAACACTGAATATTTTTCCAACATGCAAGTAGATGCCATCCCTGCTCAAAAGCCATGATCTTAACTCTTCTCAGGTGTCCATTTTCACTGGAGTGTATGTGCCATGTTCACATTATCTCTTTACATGATGCTAAAAATGTAGATTCTACAATGCTCGTCTTTCAATGTCAGAATTATTTTCCATTTCAGCGATGAATTAACTGTGTACAGTGGGGAAAAAAAGTATTTAGTCAGCCACCAATTGTGCAAGTTCTCCCACTTAAAAAGATGAGAGAGGCCTGTAATTTTCATCATAGGTACACGTCAACTATGACAGACAAAATGAGAAAAAAAATCCAGAAAATCACATTGTAGGATTTTTAATGAATTTATTTGCAAATTATGGTGGAAAATAAGTATTTGGTCAATAACAAAAGTTTCTCAATACTTTGTTATATACCCTTTGTTGGCAATGACACAGGTCAAATGTTTTCTGTAAGTCTTCACAAGGTTTTCACACACTGTTGCTGGTATTTTGGCTCATTCCTCCATGCAGATCTCCTCTAGAGCAGTGATGTTTTGGGGCTGTCGCTGGGCAACACAGACTTTCAACTCCCTCCAAAGATTTTCTATGGGGTTGAGATCTGGAGACTGGCTAGGCCAGTCCAGGACCTTGAAATGCTTCTTACGAAGCCACTCCTTTGTTGCCCGGGCGGTGTGTTTGGGATCATTGTCATGCTGAAAGACCCAGCCACGTTTCATCTTCAATGCCCTTGCTGATGGAAGGAGGTTTTCACTCAAAATCTCACGATACATGGCCCCATTCATTCTTTCCTTTACACGGTCAGTCATCCTGGTCCCTTTGCAAAAACAGCCCCAAAGCATGATGTTTCCACCCCATGCTTCACAGTAGGTATGGTGTTCTTTGGATGCAACTCAGCATTCTTTGTCCTCCAAACACGACGAGTTGAGTTTTTACCAAAAAGTTATATTTTGGTTTCATCTGACCATATGACATTCTCCCAATCCTCTTCTGGATCATCCAAATGCACTCTAGCAAACTTCAGACGGGCCTGGACATGTACTGGCTTAAGCAGGGGGACATGTCTGGCACTGCAAGATTTGAGTCCCTGGCGGCGTAGTGTGTTACTGATGGTAGACTTTGTTACTTTGGTCCCAGCTCTCTGCAGGTCATTCACTAGGTCCCCCCGTGTGATTCTGGGATTTTTGCTCACCGTTCTTGTGATCATTTTGACCCCACGGGGTGAGATCTTGCGTGGAGCCCCAGATCGAGGGAGATTATCAGTGGTCTTGTATGTCTTCCATTTCCTAATAATTGTTCCCACAGTTGATTTCTTTAAACCAAGCTGCTTACCTATTGCAGATTCAGTCTTCCCAGCCTGGTGCAGGTCTACAATTTTGTTTCTGGTGTCCTTTGACAGCTCTTTGGTCTTGGCCATAGTGGAGTTTGGAGTGTGGCTGTTTGAGGTTGTGGACAGGTGTCTTTTATACTGATAACAAGTTCAAACAGGTGCCATTAATACAGGTAACGAGTGGAGGACAGAGGAACCTCTTAAAGAAGAAGTTACAGGTCTGTGAGAGCCAGAAATCTTGCTTGTTTGTAGGTGACCAAATACTTATTTTCCACCATAATTTGCAAATAAATTCATTAAAAATCCTACAATGTGATTTTCTGGAAAAAATAATCTCAATTTGTCTGTCATAGTTGACGTGTACCTATAATGAAAATTACAGGCCTCTCTCATCTTTTTAAGTGGGAGAACTTGCACAATTGGTGGCTGACTAAATACTTTTTTCCCCCACTGTATATCTTTTTGTTGACTATTACAATACATTTAATTATATTGGGTTCTGAAAATGTATTTAAAGGTAGATTCAGCTAAATGACATTGCCATGAGCAGCACCGCAGATATTGAGATGAGAGAGATGCAAGACTTCGCTCTCACACAGTCACACACAGTATCAGCGCATGTGCTCAGGTTCGCTTCATGCTGTTAGAGCGTGGCAGCCAGGGAACCAAAACAGCAGAGAAGTTGAGCCTCGCGCTTCAACACTCTTAGTGATTGCGGAAATTGACCCACTATGCTGTTTACTTTATGCATCTATCACTGAGTCTACCTTTTAAAGCTTTGAACACATTTAAAGTGAACAAACTGGTTGTTTTGTTGAACTTGTAAGAGTGTATACTTTGTAAATACATTTGCAAAATTCTTAAATCTTGGTAATTTGTTAGGGCCATAAATTCCTACATGTGTTTTCGTTGATTAGAACAGTTCAATGTTAGTCGTGTTTCCACTGTAGTGTGTTCTGAAATCTACAGTGCATTCGTAAAGTATTCAGACCCCTTCACTTTTTCCACATTTTGTTACGTTACAGCCTTATTCTAAAATGGATTCAATTGTTTTTTCCCCCTCATTAATCTACACACAATACCCCATAATGACAAAGAAAAAACAGGTTTTTAGTCATTTTTGCTAATTTATTAAAAAATTAACTGAAATCAGATCTACAGTATTCAGACCCTTTACTCAGTACTTTGTCGAAGCACCTTTGGCAGTGTTTACAGCCTCGAATCAAATAAAATGTTATTTGCCACATGCGCTGTATACAACAGGTGTAGACATTACAGTGAAATGCTTACTTACAAGCCCTTAACCAACAATGCAGTTTTTTAAAGAAAAAAATTAAAAGAAAAAAGTGTTAAGTAAAAAAAAATTAAGCAAATAACTAAAGAGCAGCAGTAAAATAAAATAACAGTAGGGAGACTATATACAGGGGGGTACCGGTACAGAGTCAATGTGCAGGGGCACCGGCTAGTCGAGGTAATTGAGGTAATATGTACATGTGGGTAGAGTTAAAGTGACTATGCATAAATAATAAACAGAGTAGCAACAGCGTAAAAGAGGGGGATGGGGTGGGGTGGGGGTCTGTGCAAATAGTCTGGATAGCCATGATTAGCTGTTCAGGAGTCTTATGGCTTGGGGGTTAGAAGCTGTTGAGAGGCCTTTTGGACCTAGACTTGGCGCTCCGGTACCGCTTGCTGTGCGGTAGCAGAGAGAACAGTCTATGACTAGGGTGGCTGGAGTCTTTGACGATTTTTAGGGCCTTCCTCTGACACCGCCTGGTATAGAGGTCAGGGATGGCCCCAGTGATGTACTGGGCCGTACGCACTACCCTCTGTAGTGCCTTGCGGTCGGAGGCCGAGCAGTTGCCATACCAGGTGGTGATGCAACCAGTCAGGATGCTCTCGATGGTGCAGCTGTAGGACTTTTTGAGGATCTGAGGACCCATGCCAAATCTTTTCAGTCTCCTGAGGGGGAATAGGCTTTGACGTGCCCTCTTCACAACTGTCTTGGTGTGTTTGGACCATAATAGTTTGTTGGTGATGTGGACATCAAGGAACTTGAAGCTCTCAACCTGTTCCACTACAGCCCCGTCGATGAGAATGGGGGCGTGCTCAGTCCTCTTTTTTTTTCCTGTAGTCCACACTCATCTCCTTTGTCTTGATCACGTTGAGGGAGAGGTTGTTATCCTGGCACCACACGGCCAGGTCTCTGACCTCCTCCCTACAGGCTGTTTCATCGTTGTCGGTGATCAGGCCTACCACTGCTGTGTTGTCGGCAAACTTAATGATGGTGTTGGAGTTGTGGAGTCGTGGGTTATAATGCTAAAAGCTCTGTCAGGTTGGGTGGGGAGTGTCGCTGCACAGCTATTTTCAGGTCTCTCCAGAGATGTCCGATCGGGTTCAGTCCGGGCTCTGGCTGGGCCACTCAAGGACATTCAGAGACTTGTCCCGAAGCCACTCCTGTGTTGTGTTGTCTTGGCTGTGTGCTTAGGGTCGTTGTCTTGTTGGAACGTGAACCTAAGCTCCAGTCTGAGGTTCTGAGCGCTATGGAGCAGGTTTTCATCAAGGATCTCTCTGTACTTTGCCCGTTTATTTTTCCCTCGATCCTGACTAGTCTCCCAGTCCCTGCCACTAAAAAACATCCCCACAGAATGATGCTGCCACTGCCATGCTTCACCATAGGGATGGTGCCAGGTTTCCTCCAGACGTGACGCTTCGCATTCAGGCCAAAGTGTTCAATCTTGGTTTCATCAGACCAGAGAATCTTGTTTCTCATGGTCTGAGAGTCCTTTAGGTGCCTTTTGGCAAACTCCAACCAGGCTGTCATGTGCCTTTTACTGAGGAGTGGCTTCCGTCTGGCCACTCAACCATAAAGGCCTGATTGGTGTAGTGCTGCAGAGATGGATGTCCTTCTGCAAGGTTCTCCCATCTCCACAGAGGAATTCTGGAGCTCTGTCAGAGTGACCATTGGGTTCTTGGTCACCTCCCTGACCAAGGCCCTTCTCTCCTGATTGCTCAGTTTGGCCAGGCGGCCAGCTCTAGAAAGAGTTTTGGTGGTTCTAAACTTCTTCCATTTAAGAATGATGGAAGCCAGTCATGATGGATCAGCGGGGCTCCGTGTCGACAATAGGAGGTCCCGAATGTAGAATGATGGAGGCCACTGTGTTCTTGGGGACCTTAAATGCTGCAGAAATGTTTTGGGTACCCTTCCCCAGATTTGTGCCTCGACACAATCCTGTTTCGGAGCTCTACGGACAATTCCTTCAACCTCATGGCTTGGTTTTTGCTCTGACATGCACTGTCAACTGTGGGACCTTATATAGACAGGGGTGTGTCTTTCCAAATCATGTCCAACCAATTGAATTTACCACAGGTAGACTCCAATCAAAATGTAAAAACATCTCAAGGATGATCAATGGAAACAGGATGCACATGATCTCAATTTCGAGTCTCATAGCAAAGGGTCTGAATACTTATGTAAATAAGGTATTTCTATTTTTTATTTGGAATAAACGTGCAAACATTTCTAAAAACCTGTTTTCGCTTTGTCATTATGGGGTATTGTGTGTAGATTGAAATCAATACTTTAAAATAACTTCATGTAACATATTTATTCTGACCAGAAACGGGGTTTAGAGTTGTTTTGTGCGAGAATTTCATCGCTTTTCTCCTCTAATTCACCACATGATCATGCCCCAGCTTGATTGGCAAGCATACAAGCAAGCCAGTATACTTGACTCGTAAACGTCACTGGCTGGTCGTGCTTCAATTAAATAGGTAAGCTTGACGTTTTGATGTTGAAATATGGGTCTGTTTTAGCACAGTCAATGTTTTTATTTTTTACTTTGTTACCTGCTTGAAAGTCTGTTATTTTATTGCATCGGTCTGTTACAATAGCCAGCCTATACAGTGGGGAAAAAAAGTATTTAGTGAGCCACCAATTGTGCAAGTTCTCCCACTTAAAAAGATGAGAAAGGCCTGTAATTTTCATCATAGGTACACGTCAACTATGACAGACAAAATGAGAAATAAAATTCCAGAAAATCACATAGTAGGATTTTTAAAGAATTTATTTGCAAATTATGGTGGAAAATAAGTATTTGGTCAATAACAAAAGTTTCTCAATACTTTGTTATATACCCTTTGTTGGCAATGACACAGGTCTAACGTTTTCTGTAAGTCTTCACGAGGTTTTCACACACTGTTGCTGGTATTTTGGCCCATTCCTCCATGCAGATCTCCTCTAGAGCAGTGATGTTTTGGGGCTGTCGCTGGGCAACACGGACTTTCAACTCCCTCCAAAGATTTTCTATGGGGTTGAGATCTGGAGACTGGCTAGGCCACTCCAGGACCTTGAAATGCTTCTTACGAAGCCACTCCTTCGTTGTCCGGGCGGTGTGTTTGGGAACATTGTCATGCTGAAAGACCCAGCCACGTTTCATCTTCAATGCCCTTGCTGATGGAAGGAGGTTTTCACTCAAAATCTCACGATACATGGCCCCATTCATTCTTTCCTTTACACGGATCAGTCGTCCTGGTCCCTTTGCAGAAAAACAGCCCCAAAGCATGATGTTTCCACCCCCATGCTTCACACTAGGTATGGTGCAACTCAGCATTCTTTGTCCTCCAAACACGACAAGTTGAGTTTTTACCAAAAAGTTATATTTTGGTTTCATCTGACCATATGACATTCTCCCAATCCTCTTCTGGATCATCCAAATGCACTCTAGCAAACTTCAGACGGGCCTGGACATGTACTGGCTCAAGCAGGGGGACACGTCTGCACTGCAGGATTTGAGTCCCTGGCGGCGTAGTGTGTTACTGATGGTAGGCTTTGTTACTTTGGTCCCAGCTCTCTGCAGGTCATTCACTAGGTTCCCCCGTGTGGTTCTGGGATTTTTGCTCACCGTTCTTGTGATCATTTTGACCCCATGGGGTGAGAACTTGCGTGGAGCCCCAGATCGAGGGAGATTATCAGTGGTCTTGTATGTCTTCCATTTCCTAATAATTGCTCCCACAGTTGATTTCTTCAAACCAAGCTGCTTACCTATTGCAGATTCAGTCTTCCCAGCCTGGTGCAGGTCTACAATTTTGTTTCTGGTGTCCTTTGACAGCTCTTTGGTCTTGGCCATAGTGGAGTTTGGAGTGTGACTGTTTGATGTTGTGGACAGGTGTCTTTTATACTGATAACAAGTTCAAACAGGTGCCATTAATACAGGTAATGAGTGGAGGACAGAGGAGCCTCTTAAAGAAGAAGTTACAGGTCTGTGAGAGCCAGAAATCTTGCTTGTTTGTAGGTGACCAAATACTTATTTTCCACCATCATTTGCAAATAAATTCATAAAAAATCCTACAATGTGATTTTCTGGATTTTTTTTCCCTCAATTTGTCTGTCATAGTTGACGTGTACCTATGATGAAAATTACAGGCCTCTCTCATCTTTTTAAGTGGGAGAACTTGCACAATTGGTGGCTGACTAAATACTTTTTTCCCCCACTGTACGTTTCTATGCACGTTTTCAGACCTGTCGCTATGCCACTAGCCCCTCACCTTGATATCAGAATTTACCGATAGGCGGCGCTGAAGTCTTAACTTTGTTTCTCCAGATACTCATATTTGGCCACCGACTTCGACAGGTGCGGTGGCTTTGGGTACTCTACGACAAATTAAATCAGATGGCATCAAACGTGGATAACAGTTGCTGCACTCAATGGTGACCGCTCAACAGTGAGTTTGATTTGTCCTTGTATGATCCATGTCATTGATTTAAATTGATGGGAATGTTATGCTTAAACTTAAAATGTTTGGATTCTTAGAATTGTCATTGCAATCAGTGAACTTCAAAGGCTACAACATTTTATTCAATGTTTTATTCAATGTGAATCATTTGAGCGGACTCCTGATCGTGAATGCAATGAAAGGTCCTCTTGCAGTGAGGCGCTCTCCATGGTTTTGAAATGCACCACAAGCCTTTGTGCATTGGCGCTCCCAATGCTCAACGCTCCACGCTGTCCTCGTGGCAACGAAGGCCTACTCTTGGGCTACTGGTCCACAAGATGGTGCTAGTACACTTTCACTCATCCTTACAACTCAATTTAGTTGGGTGATTGAGTTTAAGAAATGTATTTTCATTTTGAACATCGATAAAAATGAGACCACCAATCTAAAGGTCCTTATCATCCTCTGTTCGCTATGCTGTAGGCCTAGTTTTTGCTGTTGTTCTTCTTTATGTTTGTTGGAATATTGTAGTTGTCTCAGAAAACCATTAGTGTATGTATTTTCTCTGAATGATAACAGGTCATTGGCGGTGGCCAAGGATGTGTGTGAGTCTTTACGCGTTTGGTCACCTTTGGCACTACAAAGTGAATGGCAAGTAATCGATTTCATTTTTGTAGGCTATTTGGTATGGTAGCCTACTTACATAAATCAGGTGTGCGTGTGGGTGGCTGGATGGCTGTGTGCTCGCGCTCAATTAGTCAATTTGTAGTTTGATAATCAATTCGCCTAGACATTTTTTTCATTCAAGCAACACACATGTTTTACTTGCGACTTTGACAAATAAAGTATTTATTCATTGATTTATTAAACAAGCATCATATTGTAATAAATAGTATTTTACTAATAACACACAAATGAATTGGTTTGTCACGGGTAAGTCCGTCACACAGAAAGCGTTTAAACATGACTGACACAAGCAGGTAGGCCTATTGGCCTATGGTTTTCAGATATTAAATCTGCCGCAACAATGTGCAACCAGGTAAGCAGTAGGCTATAGGCACCACAGATACGGATAATCGTGAGAATTCAAGTGAATTAGCGGAAGAAGTTCGTTTTTTCTATAGACCAAAGTCATCATATGAACTAGGCTCCTCATCAGAACGAACGGATAATTTGTAATGGCGACGTAGAAAGCCACCGTACCTCTTCTGATTGTCCCACTTCAAGGTGTTCAAGTTGTTCAACTTTGGCCGAATCCTTCGCATGAAACCTCCATATCGCTTTTGTAACTCCTCTCGACTACCTTGCTCCCTGGAGTCACTTCTCTTTGACTTTGTCTTTGGACCAAATTTGCGTAAAAACCCTCCGTAACGTTTGACCTTGTTTACTGCTGCTTCATCATCATTGAACACTCCCATCTCGTTTTCAGAATCAACATCTCCGCCCTGATCGTCCTCTGAAAACTCCGAGAGTTCTCTCTCTCCAAATTTTCTAAGCAAGTCCTCGTATTTCTTAGGGAACGCGTACGCTCCTTTATAAGCGCCATTTTCGCGCCACGGAGAGGATAACAATTTGTTTTTGTTTTTGTCAATTCGTTTAATGAATCCACCGTAACGCTTGACCATGTTTGCAATTGAAGCGTCTTGGTCGTCCTCCCTCTCTGGCGTGGTCCGCGCACCCGCATCTTCATCGCTGAACTCCGAGCCCACTGTGCGCGACTGGAGAGTCTTCCCGCATTTGTCTAACTCGGCGGTAGTCAGTAGAGTTCCCTCACATTCCAAGGTACAAGTCTGGAAGGAAAATGCAAAGAGCAGTGAGCAAAAATCGGCCGATTTACTAACTGCATGATACGGCTAGAAAATAAAAAGAGAGTAGCATATATTGATGTACATTCAGTTATATGGCTTTGTTTGTTTACTACATAAAATATTTAATCTGAGTTTGTCATTAATTTGTATCCCCAGGTTTCTGTAGAACATATTTGGGAAAAATGGCAAGTTTGTCTTTAGATCATTCACACTCGCTTCCACAATCCACGCGCGCTCTCCATGGTGCTGAAATGCGCCACGAGCCTTTGCGCACTGCCACAACATGCTCAACACTCCACGCTTTTTGATAACAAAAATTACACCATTAAAGATAAATAAACACACATCAACGTAAAACAACACTTGCTGTTTGTTTCCATTGGATAAAAGCAAAGTTATCTTGTCATGATGTAAAGCTAATCTTACCAGGCTGTTGACTGGGATGTCTGCATTGAGGATTTGTTGCGCGCATTGCAGACACTGGGAAGAGCAGTCTGCTTGGGTCGAAGATGGCAAGCTAAGTATCAACACCAGGACATACCACTCCATTCTTCCAAATCCCTGAAATGAAAGAGAAAACGTGAAGAAAATGTAATGTTCACTTGCCAGGGAAAATGTAACACTTGCCTATGAGAATTATACTTATTACAGATTTGTTTTTAAATATCCCTGGACAATAAGCATTTATTTGTTTTTAACTTTGATTCGTCTTTGTTCCAATTCCATGTTAGTGGTACAACTTCTCTCTTTTTATCGATCAAGCACCATGCGTAATGGTGTGGCCACCACGCTATTCAAGTAGCCTACGATGTTAACTGCCAACATCAACAATGTTTGCCAAATTGTAATAGGCTAGTATAACTCTTCATAGGGGCATTTTGATTAATAAACAGGACATTTGCAAGTACATTACTGATTATAAAAACACAGTAACACGAGTAACAAATGAGTTATTATTTGGAAATATTATAACGCCAATACAACACGGTAATAACCAGACTGACAAAACTAGAATAATAAATATAATATAAATACCTCAGTAATGTTGGAAAATGTATTCAACCCAGGCGTGGAGAGGTGCAGGTGGAACAGGAGCGCATATGATGCAAGTCAGTGTATGTTCTTCCCCAACAGTTGTTTTTTTCTTTTTATTGACGGAATCTTCGTCGTGTCACTGAAGAACATCAGAATAGCTTCTATTAAGTGACCAATGGGAGAGAAATGTTGCGCAAATAAGCCCACTCGTACCCGTCACTGCCTCTCTCCCTCCCTCTCACTATTTATTTTCTGACGCCCACTCAACATTCGCTTCAGAAACTTGGCAACTCAATAATCAGACATGTTCTAGCACATTCATAGAGGTTAATGGGTTACAATAGGTAATTGCGAGGAGTTGCACTTTCAATACGGTTCTTGGATGGTCATAATGGTTTTCTTGGTGTCAAGTAATGTAAACAGGAAGTCTTTAATATAGAGAAATCACATGGCGCTTTATTTCAAGATTAAATCCTGGTAATTGGAGCTCATTGAAAGAGCAAGGATGCAGCAGGGTCTCCCCTCACATTTGAATTGGGGAGAAACCTTGGAGTTGCAACAAAGGTAACAAACATTCTGGAGCACAGCTGACCACTCCTGAAGACCATCAACTGAATTGGACTGTCATGTTTTGATATAGGCCTATGTTTTTTTCTTTCTTTTTTTGCTTGCCTATACCAGAAGAAATAGGACAAATTCAATAGCAGGATCTCAAGAACACATTTAAAATAGTTGTATTTTTTTGTTGTTGTTGAAATATTTGCATGATTAAATAAAATGCCCAAATATATATTTTGTAAAAAGGAACGAACATGCTTAGTGTTATAAAGGCCTACGCGTCTTGGCCCTAATAAAAACATTAGGCCTATCATAAAAATTATTCAATACATGAATCCAAAATACATTTATTGAACAATAATAATCATTGAATTACATTTAATACGAAATAATGGTGTAAATCCAAGCAAGAAGTTAATGCGTTAACTTCGATATCTGATGATAGAACTAGGTCAAAAGAAGAGAAGTACCCTATTGTCACGCCCTGACATTGAGATCTCTAGTTGGGTTGATCAGGGTGTGAAATCTAATTTATATGTTTCTATGTTGGCCGGGTGGGGTTCCTAATCAGAGGCAGCTGTCGGTCGTTGTCTCTGATTGGGGATCATACTTAGGCAGCCATGTTGCCTACCTTAGTTGTGGGATCTTGTTTCTGTTTGATGTTTAGCCTCTTGAACTTCACGTTCTGTTGGATTTTGTCGGTGTTTATTAAAATAAACGACTATGTACGCATACCACGCTGCACCTTGGTCCGATCCTTTACACAACGAACGTGACACCTATACTACAAATTTGTGAAAACTTTCTGTCTTGTCAGAGAGGACTGCCAGAGAAGGATGCAAAGTGGGAATGAATGGAATCCCCAGTTATTCTTGGGAAATTATTTGTGAGAAATTATATTTTGCACCGATTAATGCTGTTTTATATTGGCTTTTTAGCAGACAGAACCTTTGTATCTTCTTTGATTTTATTTGTATGACATATGAGAATGAACTCAGAGCAGCATTAACCCTTTAACCCAAACATCCTTTGAGTGTTTTTGCTTATGACACATCAAATGATACCCTTCTACAGAATGACCATAGCATAAGTTGGAGCAAATATGCTCATGAATGTTTTCTTCTTCTTTTAATGTTGGATGAAGATAATGTGATACGTCGTCCCATTGTTAATTAGCTCCAATCAAATTGGCAAAGCGTTCCCTAGGCAACCTTGAGTGTGCTTTCTGGTGTTTTCTCTGATGTCTTGATCTTCTGTTTGATTTGCACCACTTCTTTCGCTGAGCCTCGGCGCGCCTCCACTTCCCAAACTGACGTTATCAGGGAAGAGTCTGAGCTAGAGGCGACTGATAAGTGTATGCGCACCGCTTCCCTATTGTCCGACGCCAGACTCCCAAATTAATCCCATCTCTTTCAAAGTACTCTTCATGAAACAACACGTTTTTCAACTTCATAGGCTGATGTCATGTAATAATTACCATATTCCACTTGGGGGTGAAAACCTCTGACGCAATGAAGGATAGAGACACATATTTCCCTCAGATTACAGAGATCGACAAAGAATTCGAAAACAAACCCAATTTTGATAAACTCCTGATAATCTACTGGGTGAAAAACCACAGTGTGCCATCACAGCAGCAAGATTTGTGACCTGTTGCCACAAGAAAAGGGCAACCAGTGAAGAACAAACACCATTGTAAATACAACCCATATTTATGTTAATTTATTTTCCCATTTGTACTTTAACTATTTGCACATTGTTACAACACTATATATAGACATAATATGACATTTGAAATGTCTTTATTCTTTTGGAACTTCAGAGTGTAATGTTTACTGTTAATATTTATAGTTTATTTAACTTTTGTTTACTATCTACTTCACTTGCTTTGGCAATGTTAACATACGTTTCCCATGCCAATAATGCCCTTAAATTAAATTGAATTGAATTGAATTGGTTGAGTGGATCCCAAAAAATGATTGAGAAGAGTGGGGTTCTCTGAAGTCATGGAGACCACATAGCAGGGGCGCCACTTTCACTGCAGTGTTATTATTGGAATGTGATACAAAACAAGGCAATGGTGTGCTTTAGGACCATCCGGATGCCTCAGTGCGGTCAGGTAGGCTGTTTGGAGTGTTTATCCGACTGGATAACAAAATAAAATAAAAACGTTATGTCCCCCCCACTTCTAAAACCAAAGTTGCGCCCGTGCCAAATAGACTAACATTCTTGAACGCATGCCGCTGGAAACATTAGCTTCCGGCTTAGCTATCCAAACAACCATTTTCTTTCTCCAGTAGGGTAGGCTCTGTTTGTCAATGCTGCTTTTTAAATAAATTATTAATCCACTCCTCAGGCCTTTTCCAAACAAGATACTGGATGATATATGTGCCTCTTGTTATTATACTGCCTCATATACTTACTTACTTGCTCTCACTCTCGTTCTCGCTCTCACTCTCACTCTGGCTGAGGTCTACATTTACATTCTCCAGTATCTTGGAAACACTTCCATTTTAAATTAAACTACACTCTTCCCACAAGCTAGACACATCTCTGCCATTACACACATACTATTTCCTACAGATATATTTTTTTGCAAGATATTTTAAATAATTACATACAGGTAACTGCCAAAATAAAGGAAACCTCAACATAAAGTGTCTTAATAGGGCGTTGGGCCACCAGAACAGCTCCAATGCGCCTTGGCATAGATTCTACAAGTGACTGGAACTCTCTATTGGAGACCACCATTCTTTCACATTTGGTGTTTTGTTGATGATGCTGGAAAACACTGTCTCAGACACAAACATACACACACACATTTTAAACTAGTGATGGGAAGTTCAGCTTTTTTTACTAACTCAGATCTTTTCAACTTGAATCTTTCGACTCATTTAATTAATTTGAGTCAGTAATGCCCAGAGCACGCAGGACCCCCTACCGGCGAATGATGAACTGACAACTCATGAGTCATGATTCTACAAGCCTGTCATTCACATCTCGTTCATCATAGGGGGCTTATTGGAGCTGTCATTTGTGACTGAGACTTGTAAAAGTCTGCTTTAAACAATGTACATTTGTTCATTGCTAGACATACAAATAAGAATATTTTTGGATACATTTTAAACAAGGTCTAGTTGTGGCCGCAACCGGACTAGATTGTCAACAACTCTTGGCTGGTGCATTGCTTGACTGCCGTGAGGGTGATAAGCATAATATTGTCGGCGAACTGCAGCCCCCCAAATGATTAGTTCTCGAGTTCGAGTTTATTGAGCAGAGGCTGTGTATGTTTTGGATCTACAAATCTGTGTCCATCATAACATTCAGTAATCAATTAATTGCATTAATTCTTGTACCATGCGATCAATTATCAGTTCTGTCGCATAGGACTCATTGCAGCCAGCACGTCATACAAATGACAAAAATGAATGAGTCACTCAGGAAAAACGAATCATGACTCTCGAGTCAGTAAAAAGAGTAGTTAAAAAAGAACTGCACATCACTACTTTAAACCCCCTATGCTCCTAAAGCCTTATTTACATTGGCATTTTTTTTTGCATATCCAAATCAAATCTGTACTTTTTCCTGCAGTCTGAACTGCCAAAAAGCACATGGAATCAGATATTTCAAGCCACAAATCTGATTCCTGGCCATGCAACTTGTCTGAATGGTCAAATCTGATTTATTTTCCCTCGTGGTTTTTAGACTGTTATTTGGCATATATTGTTGCTTGCTAGCTATTCTGTTTACAGTTTGACAAGAACATGTCGTAGCTAACTAGCTTGTTAATTGTTTACAAACAAATTAGTGAATGTGCTAGAAAGCTAAACAGCTACCTAGCTAGCTAGCTAAGTGACTGCTGTGGCTAGCCAAAAAGGACTTGTTTTGAAAGTTGGATCATCTTATCCTTTGAGGCGTTAAAAGTGTTCTTACACTATGATTTTGAACATTCAAAG